CGTGTGTGTGTGCGTGTGTGTGTGCGTGTGTATGTGTGTATGTATGTATGTAAGAGAGAGAGAGAGAGAAGCAGGAGACATGTAGTCACCACGCGCGTGATGCTTGGCTTTCCGTAGATCTCCGTCGAGCAGCAGGAGCGGCAGACCTCCGCTAGCGCTCATGGATGCTGAGAGCAATGCTTACGGCCGCACGTCCGCCGACTGGACGGCCATGTCTGCGGAGAGTCACTCACAGCAGCAGGGAGAGTGGGATGCTCACATACCTGACGGCTACTACAGAGCGAACACACGCATGCACTTCGCCTGTGTCTCCGGGTACGTTACTGAGCCTCTACTAACGCTCAACGGATTGATTTGGTCGATTTATTTATTGATTAATTGATTTATTGATTTATTGATTAGTTTATTTATTGATTGATTGATTTGCAATCTATCAGTTCATTGGATTTGTTCCTTAACTTGGTGCGTGCCCTAGCATCAAAGTTATGTGTGCATGTAGTAAAACTGCATATCCCTGTTCCCCCTAGTACTCTCTTTAGTTTAAATAAGTTATTGATGATTAATCAGTAAAATTATTACTGAACAACGTTAATGATGAATTAGTAATTAGTAGCACGTCATCACTGCTACAGTGTATCTTTGTGTGATTGCTGCTAGGTTTTACAAGTTGGTTGGCTCGGAGACGAGGACGTGTCTGAGTTCTGGTCAGTGGACGGGGATCCAGCCAACGTGCCTCCCAGGTAGCGGTCAAACATCCGCCCCCTCCTACATAACCCCCGCCCTAGTTTAACCACCGCCCACTCCACATGTCCTCCCTAGTGTATACATCCTCCCACTATACATGACCTCCATACATGCCACACTGTGCAACTATCTATCCACCATCTCTCTCGTCCCACGAGACCGTTAGAACTACTCTACACTCTTCAATTATAAACGCGGTTCATGGTATACCACCTCCGCCCTGTTCGTAGCCTTCAACCTTTAATTTATTGTAATTATCAAATAACAACATAGAAGAGGGAATAATTAGATAAGGGATATTTAGCAGGAGTAAACAGTAGATAATTCACAGTAATTTGATCTCTATTCATGCACTCCTGGCTATATGTGATATATTGTTGTCATATTGTGCATCGATGTTGTCATATTGCATCCACAGTTGCTGCCATCTCCGCTGGTGTTGTTGGCATTGCTGCTGATGCTGTTGTTGCAGTTGTTGTTGTTGTTGTTGTTGTTGTTGTTGTTGTTGTTGTTGTTGTTGTTTACAGTTTGTGGAAAATCGTCAGCCCCGCGGACGCCTTACATTGTCAACGGCATTACGACTAAGAAGGGCGAATGGCCGTGGCAAGCCGGCATCTCACGCTATCACAAATTCAAATGGTACGTGATCGATAACCTATGCGATTCCATTGATTATTGATATATCAATTATTCACTGACCACGAATGAGCTTACAACCCCAACCGCAATCTACAAGCAAAATGAGCTTGTTACTTCAATCCCAATCTATAACCGAATGAGCTCACTACCTAACACACACACACACACCAGAACCATCTGCCCCTGACCAAGCTTTCACTCGACCGGACACACAACTGATAATTCTGTTTTCCACACTGACGGTGCTGCCCTCTTTCATCTGCAGGCAGCTGGACTGCGGTGGCGCCCTCCTCAGTGAGAATCTGGTAGTAACGGCCGCGCACTGCGTTACCATGTACCCGCTCAACGTACCGCTCCCACAGACGCACATCCGGGTCTCTCTCGGCAAGTTCTACCGCAACGACAGCCACGACGACGACGAAGTCCAGAGATTCGCCGTGAGTGCAACAACGCCACCTGGTGTCGCTCGCTCGCACGCACGCACGCGCGGTCGGCGGGAGAGAGAGTCGGGGAATCGGCGGATGTGCAGAACCCGTCGGTCGCTATGGCGTGGATTACATCCCCCCTCATGGGAAACACCCCCCTGATCGCTGACACAGTGTGACAACCAGCACCACTGACTTTCTCTGAGTCTATACATACTCTATATACTATATACTCTATACTATATACTATACGTCATATCAAGAGCTAATAATACCTTATTATTATTAGCTCTTGGTCATATATATATACCCTATATACATATGCATACTATATACTCTATGTATACTCTGACAACCCTCCCTCCGTGTGTTTGTAGGTGGAGGAGATACGCGTGCACAGGGAATACAACCCTGCCAACTTCAACGCTGACATCGCACTGCTGAGATTGAAGCGACCAGCGAGGCTGACGTATGCAGTGCAGCCCGTCTGCCTGCCTACTAACCACTCACTAAGCACCACTCACCTGTCCCAGGTACAAAACTCATTATCATCCATTACAGGTGTGACAATCCGCTGTCACAGACACGACATTTACCGGTGACAGGTAGGAAGCTCGTGACCGTTCGTCA